AAAGAAAAAAGATGTATGTTGATCTATTAGAAAATAAAGTATATATCTATCATAATTTAAGGTGGCTGGTTTAAATCAATAGTTATAAGAATATAAAGAACTTTAAGAACAAAGTTAGGTTTTCTTAAGAAATACACAAATCCAGTTATTATTTGGAAAATCATAATAAAAATCTGATTAATTAAATCATTACTTTCAAGAAATTTATGAATAATCAATTCCTAAAATTGCCTAACATTTTAAATAAGAAAAACATAATCCTGAATTAGATCATTGCTTTTAAAATTTCTATAAATGTTTTAATGATATGAATAGTGTTAAAGATGAAATGGTTCAAGAAATGCAAAAATTAGAAATCACAATGAAATCTGCCAAAGAAATTCCCGAGTTTAATAAGTTTCTGGAACATGTCTCAAAATTAGATTTCTAAAAATAATTAGACAGTTTAGAAGAAGTAATTTAGATAATATATAAACTTAGGAACTTGGAACTGTTATTAAAACAGATGATCTCCAATTATCAATAAAGGATACTTATGATTTGTACAACAAATCCTTATAATTTATTAAGAAACCTAAATTAAATTGAATATTATTTATATATATTGAATTCTCATTAAGTATTAATCTACTAAATATTGTTTCTATATATATATTATTATATATTTCATATTAATTTTAATAGTATATCTAAAGAGATTAAAGGTAAATATGATAATTAAATACATAAAATAATTAAATATATATAATATTTTTATATTAGATAAATAATAATAAGATTCATAGTCTCAGATTAATTAAATTGAATTAAGTTGAATTAAAAATTAAATATTTATTAGCTATTTAATAAAAATTAATCTAATTGTAAATATATTGTAAATACATTATTTACTTAATTTTAAGAAATTGTAATAATTTAAATATTGCAATTAATATAAAATGGATATAATGATAAATCCTTTAGATTCTTAATTAAAATTGATATTAATAACATCATTTTATAAAAAGATTTAATTATTTGAGATAATATATTTGAGTATCAGACAGTATTTCATTATTTAATTTATTTAAAATACTGTAATATGTTTGATAAGTAATAAATAATTTAAAATAATAAAAGAATATAAGAAAAAAAGATTAAGTTTAAGTTTAAGTTTGATTTCACCTTATATAAAAATCTAATATTTTAATATATATTTTGATTGAATATTAGAAAATGAATATCATAACCATAAAGATTTTGAGGATTTTTATTTATTTTTTAAATTAAGTAATAATTTTGTAGAAAATTGCTGTTGTTTTAAAGAGTAAGATAATTATAAATGATTATGATTGTTATTTTTCTATTCTAATGAGGAGAGTTTGTTGATTTGTATCAATTTCTAAGCATGAATAATTAAAATGCAAGTTGCAATTTAAAATTCAGATGAATGTGTATTATTTGCATATTTTCATCAAATATGATTACATTAATTATTTAAATGAGTACTGAATGTTCAGTTGTATTTAATGTAACAGTTAGGACATCTCTTTCTTAAGTAGTTGGAGTGGTAGGAAATTAACCAGAATTAGGAAATTGGAATGAGAAAAAGGCATGTATTTTAAAAACAGAGCCAGCTTCATTTCCAAAATGGGTGACTGAAAACCCAATAATATTTTAAAGAGGTATTAGGAATACATTATTGAAGGAACAAAATTGGAATTTAAATTAGTGATTATAGAAAATGGAAATACAATTTGGGAAGAATTACCATAAAATCGTAAATATAGATGTCGATATTGGAAGGTTGTTTTAACAGCAGAATGGAATAATTATGAAGGAAGAGAATTTATAGAGAAGAGATTTAAATCTAGCGTATGTTTAAATTAAGAAGTCTTAAGTAAAGTCACAAGGACTAGAATGAGTGATCAATTTGATCCTTTTGATTAAGCAAATGATGATTCAGAGGATTCTGTTGAAGGATTTGATAGTTTTGCTAAAGAAATAGCTGGCAAAAATGATTCAGAATCATCAGAATCTGATAATGAGAAAAAAAAGCCTATTGTTGAAATTAATAAAGATAGCGATTTTTAATCGTTATATTAATTATATAATGAGAATCCAAAGTTTAGATAGTTGAAAAATTTCAATTAGAATGATATTTTATATGAAGTTAATGAAGATCCTTTAATAGGAATTAGTGATGAAGATTCTTTACTTATATCTACATTTTATCTTCCAATAGTAGTGATAAAAAAGGAGGATGGATAATATGAAAGAAGAAATTTTTAACATTCTTTTAGTTTACATCTATTATTTGGAGTATAATAATTCAAAAGAACTTGGTTTGGACTTCCAATAGTATTAAATGAAAAAGGAGAAAAAATAAATGATACAAGTGAAGCATTAAAAGGTTATTTAAAATAATATGGATTTGTTCCAATATTTGTAGATTAGGATTGTTTAGAATATTTTAATTAAGAATTTTGTACAAAATTATATTAACCTATTATGAATAATGATGTAAGTATAACAAAATTAGCAGCTCTAGAGTATTCTGAGTATATGTAAGATTGTTTTAAAAAGATGAATGATTCATTTTTTTAAGAAATTAAACCTTATATAAATTAAAGTTCAATTGCTTTAATAGCAGATTATAGATTATTATATTTAAGTTAAATTTTTGTAAGTCATAAATTCACTAGATTACCTATAGTTATATTTTATAATAGATTATTTCCACATTTTGATAATTTAAAATTAATTCCCTTTTATTAAGATATTACTAATTCTTTTTTATAAGCAAATGTTATTTGTTTTAGTAATTATGATACTGCTAATGAATTTTTAACAATTATGAAAGATATTTATTAAATAGAATATCATTCATTCAAAGGAAATTTGGCATTTCATTATTATGGTAGAGAAATATATGTAAAACTGTAGAATCCAGGTATAGAAATAAGAGCATGTGGAGATTTTAGATTTGAAGGAAAAAATAAGTAAAAAGTTTCAGAAAATGAAATCAGAATAGTTGGAGTAGATACTTATGGACATTAATCAGGAGTAGAATTAAAGTTCAGACATTTATTAAAATTTATTAAGGAAACTGATATTATATAAAAGAATCCTCATATTAAATTCATATAGATATAATTAAAAGCATTTGAAGATATTGATATACAAATTTAAAGAACTTAATTAATAAATTAGATTAATTAAATAAATTAATTATTATATCCAAATAATGAAGATTATTTTATTAAATTAATTGAAGAAGATATGGATTCAAAATAACGCTTTGAAGAATTTAGCAAAGCTAATATGTATTTTTAATGTAGATACAGTGGAAGACATGATTTTTATTTACTTGAATATATTCATTTAAATGCTATGCCTATTGCTTTAATAAGTGATTCAAGTTGTTTTCATAGAGGTTGCCATTCTATTTCAACATTTAATGTATTTTCTCATAAAGATTTTAAAGAAAAGTTTTCAGATTTATTAGATAAAATAATTAAAAAGTCATATTAATTTCAATAAGTTCATAAAATTTAAGTTGAAAAAGATCAATAAACTATTCGTTAAAATCAAACATCATAATGGATAGAAAATATATTTATTGATGCAAAAAAGGCAGCTTCAATGCTTAAATTTGCTTAGATTAGTTTAAGAAATTAAGATGGATAATAAATAAAAGTAGCTCATAATATGAAATTTTAAAATTTAGATATTTAATAAGTAGCTAAAGTATATTAATAAGCAACTAAAGGAATTATTATTTTAGAATTTGAATCAATTGTTACTGATTAATATGTTATAGATTATAAACCACATCATTTTTTATAATAAAGTCCTCATATGAAAGGAAGTGAAGAAGTAATTGTCATTAGATAAGTTTAATAAGATATATTATAAGCTTTAAAAATAATATCAAAAATTCATAAGGTATATATTGTTTCAAGTGGATTATATAATGAATTATAATACAATTTTAATGGATCAAATATTAATTTGTTTGCTGAAAATGGATTTCTATATAGATCAGATTCAATTTAATGGAATGCACTCTTTAATATTGATTATTAATGTTTAACCTAAGTCAAAAAAGTGTTTAATTAGTATGCAACTAAAACAGAAGGAGCTGTAGTAGAAGTTAAAGAAAGTTCAATCTGTTGGTAACTCAAAAATTAAGAAGAATATGCTTAATAATTGATTCAAGATCTTGTAGATAATGTATAAACTATAGTTGATCGTTATCCTACTTTTTAATTAATTGTGAAATCAAATAGTGTAGAAGTCTGTCCAAAGAATTTAAATAAAGGAATGGTTTTAGAATTAATAATGTAAAAGGAAAATCTTTAAAGAGGAAAATTAGATTTTGGATTGATTGTAGCTAGAGGAATTGAAAATGAAGATGTATTCTCTCATTTTAAAGTAATCACTTAAAGTAGAAAATATTTTATAGAGGTACTAAATATATTTGATTTATTAGAATGCTAATCATTTCTCAGTTTCCTAGGGTCTTGTTCCATCATATGCTAATTATTACCTTAACTCATAATTAGATTTAATTTAATTATTAAAAGCAATGTGAATTTCTTAAAATAGTATATTATTGTAAATTTCAAGTTTTCATTAAATAATAATTAATATATTATATAAATTTGATGGATCTTATTATATTATAAATTAATAAAGATCATTTAATATACTATAAATAGAGTAGTATATTAATTTCAATCTAATTGGAATAATAGTTAATGATTTCAATTTGATATAAATAAATTAATAGTATTTATTAGAATATGTATATATAAATTCTATTTTTCAAATATAAGAATTCTTTTATTTATGTATTCAAAAATAAGATTAAAAATAAAAATGCTATAAAAAATGTTATTATTTATGTTTATTTTTTATAATTCTATCTTTAATGAATACAACAATATATTTTATTTAAATATAAAAGAGAACAATAGATTCTCATGAATACAACTTATTAAAAATATTAATTCACATCATATAAAATGCTTAAGTATATTAATCACTATGAATGATATAACTGCCAATATCAAATAAATTTAAGCATATTTTGCATAATTATCGCTTGTTTTATCATTTTCTTCAGTAAGTTTCAAATTAGTTTCAGCTAGATTCCAAGTTAATAAAATTTATGTGGCTTTATTTCTCCACTCTTATTCAGAACAATCATTAGGTAAATTTTATATTATGAATTCTTCAATTCTAATTTATTTCAGAAAAACTGAATTTGCGTCTCTTCTTAAAACAATCAAATATTCAGGCTTCGTTGCAAAATTTGTAATAAATGGCCAATTATTGTTTCCTCTTTCTTATTTTTTCTCATCATATAGTTTAGGTAATTATAAATAAGCTTTAAGTGCATCTTAAGAAAATTCTGTAATTTTAACAATATTTTTCAATTGATTTTATCCTTAATCGTCTTTCTATATATGAACAAGTCCAAGAAAAACAAAATTAGAATTCATAATAAATAATTATTATATTTAATACTTTAAATAATAACTGATTAAATTAAGATTTTCTTTATATTATTTTATTATTTAACAAAATAATAATAATAGTTATTATGATTGATTTTCATATTATAATTTCATATGTTTTACATATTGATTACATTATACCTGTCATTCAATACAGCATTTAATGAATTTCCTTTGCTTGGCTTCTTATATTCGCAGTAAGAATTAGATCCACTGGAATAAGTACTAATATTTATCTTAATGATTGGATGGTTTATTGTTATTTATAAATCCATATAAAACTCAATGTACAATATATGGCAAATAGACTAAATTAATAATTGATTTTATTAATACCTAAATCCGAATCCATAATAATACACTTATATTATATTTATAATATTTTAACTAATATTCGAATTGTCTTGTTAAAATAAAACTAAAAATTATCTCATAGCAGTTTATATATCAGTAAAATATTAGAGAATGAAATTCTAAAATTATTAAGATTGTGCAGTTATCCTACATTCTTCTATATTTGGACTATATTTAAAGTTGTTTATTTCATAATCGTATTCTTAATTTATAAATTTAACAAATGCTGCTGTGAATCCCAGAGCACCATTTACAATAATATCTAAATATATATCTTTCCTATTTAATAAATCAAATATTATTTACTTATCATAAATTAAGGTTTGTTTTGATAAATCACAAACTGGCAGATTATCTAAGGTAGTTGATAAACATAGATCATAATTCAAAACTCCATCAAAAATACTCTTCTCATTATTTTCATTAGCATTTTTTAAGATAACATCAGCAATTTCATTGATCAAAGGTAATAAATTATCCTTATAATCTACTAATAAAGATGTTGATAAAGTTTAATTAATAAAGCTTAAATTATAATTTGGAATAAGAGGTTCTGTTTTTGTAAGACCTGCAATTAATGCTAATGAATCCATATTGTGTCTAAATTATACAAATTTTAATGTAACAGTTAAAGATGGTTAAAAATTATCATTATATGACATATGAATAAGATATCCTGTCATTAAAAATGTTGACCATATTATAGCCAATAAAAATGTTATTATTACATTTGTTCTATTCAAATAATAGGTTTTCTATATTCTTGAATATAAAGCACTAGTAGCTCGATAACTATTTTAAGTTGATTAAATAGATATTGGCTACTTTAATTCTACTTTTTTAGACTTCTTATCTTAATATTCAAACATAATTTCTCCAAAATTAAACAATTTCCATTTATTAGAACTTTCATTATCTAACTATTCTTTTATAATAGATAGACGATTAATTTAATCAATTGATTAATTTTCATTTATGCGAGATACTAAAAATAATATCGATTTTGTAATGTGATCAATAAATAACCAATATTTTAATTATAGTCCAATAACAAACATTACACAAAATAATTAGACCATCATAACTGTCAAGAAGTACGATCTAACTGAAGATTAAGTATCAATAGTATTTTACATAATAATCTAAATTAATTAATTATGCAAATCAATGATTTACCATAAATTTACTCTTATTATTCCTGTTGTTAACATATCCGGATAAATGAATTATTATTTCCCCACATTATTTCTATATGAAGTTTCGGCTGTCTAATAAATAACTTAATAAAAATCCTATAGAGGAAGATCTTGATATTTTATAACCCCATTTTCAATATACTTAAAATTAAAAATTGTATTGATATCCAAATTCTAAGCTTATTTAGGTACTTAAATGGCTAAGTTAATCATTTCTTATCTGGCAAAATCATACATTTAAGCCAAGATGTCAATATTTCTTTTATTCATAAAAGGACTTAATTAAATTAACTATAGACTTTAAACATATTGAATCCATTCTTAATACATAGCAGAAGAGTAAAAGTAATTAATGTCTTAAGGTTATCTCAAATTTTTAACTTATTCTGTTTAAGAAATGAGATTAGATGATATTAATTATACATTTATTATATCTACAGCTAAAATAGCTAAAGATATTAAAGAAAGAAGGAAACCTATTTTTTTAAGAGGTGTGATAAGTTAGGTGTTATAATACAATTATTATACTATTAATAAAGACTCCTTAGATGTTGAATTTGTAGAAGTTCTTGATGGATTTGATGCAAAATCCATAGCATTCTCTTTCTTTTATATTTAAGCAATTCTTAATTTACCTAAAATAGAGTTCTTTTTTAATGTTTAACTATTAGATTCAAATTTTTCATTAACTATTTCTTATTCATTTTCATCTAATAATTCTAATTGCCTTTCTTTTAATCCCTAAAAATAATATGATTATGATTTACATGCATTTCATTTTCCATTTATTCAAATTCTTAATTGCATTATTTATCTAATAGTCTAGGTTTTATATACAAAGGTTATTAAATAATCATTTATCTACTGGAATCAAAAATATTAGATCTTTCAGATTATTTAACTTTAAAGCTCATTTCTAAAGATTTTGAATTGTCTAATATATTATTATTACTCATATCATCATTATTATCATATTATTTGACAGATTTTAATTGATTCATCATTTTTATTTCTAAAATAATTCCATTTTAGGATTCAGGAATATCTATATTCTCATTTTTTAGGAATAGATCACTGGAATTGATATCTTAAGTTGGATATACACTTTATTATTGAGTAGTTTAAGATGGAATTGTTGTGAGATTTTGATTTGTATTTTACAATTATAAATGCTTTATTTCTTTAATAGATATCATAAAATATGCATATGTTCCTTTTTTATATTTTAAAACTTTAAATTATAGACTATAAAATAAACCTAATTACATATATTATGATTAAGTATCGAATTCAACAAGTTTTTTAACAGATTCTTAGACTTCTGGATGTAAAAGCATTATTAGTGTATTATCTATTAGAATTTATTTTCTAATTTCTTATGGAATTTCTTAATCATCATATATATCCATATTTGTATTCATAGAATTTTATGAATATCTTGAATATGTTTATGATTTATAAGATCTCTAATTGTTTTATGTTTGTGAACCATTACTCCTCCTTTTAAATTATTACAATATTAATTGTGAATTTGATAGACAATCATTATGATTTGATGGAATAATCCAATAAGATCTTAAATTATTCATAAGATAATTTGAAGATGAATTAATTTAAATTCTTAATTCTTCAACTTATTATGTTATGGATGGTATGTAATATTATATTAATGGTTATCTTAATAATAACTCTTTGATTTCCATTTATTAAATTGTTGTTTCAGTACGTTTAGACATATGAGAACTATCAATTTTTGTTTTAGATTTCAAAGCTTCATCATAAAATTATTTAGTGAATCCAAGAATTTTACCATCTATTCCAAACAAAATAGTTTCATTATTTGATTATTCTTTAGTTAGTATCATATTCAATAAAAAATCATTCTTATTTGAATCAAAATAATTATATAAATTAATATTACAAGGTTCTATGTATCCTTATATATTTTAAAAAAATGTTGATTCTCCATGAACCATTAATTTAGAATGTCCATTTTATAAATAATTATCCATTAATTAATCATGTATACTTTATAAGAAATTAGGCATCAATTAATTACAATGTTTTATTAATTTTACATTATCCTCAGAATCACATAAAAACTATGATAATTATTTACTATTTGTATTAATTAATTCCCCTCTTCTACGTACTAAACTGGATTTTAAGATTATCAATCTATCTTTTAAATTATTATAATATTTATTATACTTTGTATTAATTGAATATTATCCAATGATTCATCTTATTTATATCTTTCACTCTTTAATAGATCATCAATTGCCTTCTCTAACTAAAATGCTTGGAAAGAATTAGAATAAATTCCAGTTTAATAGATTTATATGATTCTCATTGATAAAATATCTTGAGATGAAGATCCTTTCAATTTATTATTTACCATATCAAATCTATCTTCAAATTCTTTTTTGCATCTTAACATTTTAGAAGTTGTTTTTAATGCTTCATGTAGACAATGATCAATATCATTATAACCATTTATTAATTTATTCCAAAAATTGATTTTACTATTTAAAGTTTCAAGAATAATAGGAAATAATATGGATGCAGAATGTGAAGTATTAAAAGCTGATTAAACATCTAATGAATTCAAATGTTCATTAGCATTTCTTATAGAATTCTTAACTTAAGCCTCTTTCTAAAACTATTAAGTTCTCTTATATAATTCTTATTATAAATTCTAAGAAGCAATTTTATAGTAGATATCATCAGAAGTCATTAAAATCACTCTTACCAATGCTTTTAATGGAGCATGGTTAGCTACATAGGAACAATAAAGCAAAACATAAAGTTAATTTCTATTGATATTTGTATTGGCCATTCTTCTTAATAAACATTCAACAAATTAATGAGAATTTTTGCATTTCTTACATATATGGTTCTTTTTAATAATTGATAGGATAATTTTTGATTTAGGTACAGCACTCATTTCATTATTTTCTTCTAATATCTATGTTAAATTAATTCATACTTAGAGTGTAACTAAATTCTACTACTACTTTAAAGTGATATAGTAATTCACAACTCTATACTGAATCTATATAGATAAATACAATAAAAATAAAAGAATTAAGAATAATTCATAAATACTAAAATTGAATGCAATTGAAATATTAAATGAAATAGCAATAATCTCAACTAAAATATATGAGAATTGATTTATTCTATTAATTGAAGTTATTATATAAGTTAAACTCTTGATTAGGATTAATGCAAATCTTAATTCAGGTAAAATATCAATTGATTTTAGAATAATTGATATAATTAATAAAACTTACATTATGCTATTATAAATTATAGAATAATCCAATGTTAAAATGTAATTATCTTCCATCAATTTTTCACATCTTCCAAAATAAATATGTATTGTATTTAAAATCAGAGTGAATATTATATTTAGTGATCCTATTAATATCA